CAGAGTCACGGATTCAATGTTCGACTCAAACGCCAGATCAGATCAAAGCCAGACGAACCTCTCTGTGGCCCTAAACGCAACAAGCTAACGGCTAGCTAACACCCCCACGCACGCGGCTAACAAAGGAATCACACCTCCACCAACGCGTCTACGTAATTATGCAAATTAAGGCAACAATTCAAAATTGGAAACGTGGGTTAAACAAGTTAACAGGAAGTAGAAAAATACTTCCATGTACGTGTGTATGTGTTTAAAACTAATTCAAAATGACATCGTAAATGTTACAGAAACACAAACCAGCCGTCACAGACTAACAACCCAAAGCGAACACACACACACACACGTTCAGAAAGCTCGGTTCAGCTAACGAATATCAGCTGCGCTAACTCATGAACTCGTGACCACAAGCCAACCGTGTAGCTATAAAAAATAAATGGATAAAAGGTAAATGAGTTATTAGGAAGTGTTTCACATTATTAACTAGCTAGCATATCGACATGTTCAGCAGATATTCGTGATTACTTAGATGACTGTCTCACTATAGCTTGTGAGCTTAGCAATGCTAAGTTATAAAATAACAAACAGCTACGTTACGCAGCTAAGCTAACTCATACAGTTCACGTGAACAATTTGAATGCTACATCTGCGTCACGTCGGCGACGACTTGAGGACTATTTATATGTGGCTCCCTTCGCTAACGGTAGTGTCAGTAGGTGAATGGATATTCAACGTACAGCCACTGTAATAGCCGTGTGTTAGCAGGTTAAATTGGATGGTATTTGAGTTAATTGGGTTTCATTTAGACGTTAATGTCAGTGTAGCTTCTCTGGGGACATTTCTTCACTAGTTCCTCTTACGGTTTGAAGTAATATTTTTTTATCAAATGGGAAAATCTATAATAAAAAAAACACAGGTATATTCAGTATGAGCTAACGCATTACGCTAACACATAACTAGGTCATATTGCTAAGCTAGCACATGAAGCTAATAAACGCTCATTGTTCAGGACATCATTGGAGTTCAGCGGTTGGCTGATATAAAAACAAAAACAAACGAAACGCATCCGCTCCGCTAACGACACACTTGAGGTAACGCAAATCTCCCTTTGCCAACTTCCACATTTAAACAACGCGCCAATACGTCGGGAATAGAATCAATAACTTCATTGATCAGCTACTAACACTTCTTCTATGAACAAGTCGTCAAAGTACAGACGCAGAACTAACATTTATTTCCCCTTTTATTGTAACGAAAGTCAAGGTTGGGGGTTTGAATCCTGTGAAGGACCACAGAGAGATCTGGCTTTAGGCAACGCAATATAAATCGTCATTTATTCATCAGTACATCATAAAAACTAAAGAATCACTAAAGAGATACAGGAATAAGAACTATTTAACCAAAAGAAAAACCGATAGACGCGTCATTGCCTCCAAGATGGCGACTTAACAGGTAAAATTAGACCGAGAACAAACGCACCCAGCGAGCACAATTTAGTACAAAAAACAGTTTCTGTCTCCGACGGTAAAACATTAAATTTCCATCTGACGCTATTAAAATATTTCTATGCCAAAATAATAAAATACAAAAAAAAAACAGCAAGTGAGAGTCAACACACAATCCGACGCATGCTTTAAAACATTATCATAAACAATATTAATAATATCTGATTTTCTTACTCAAGACTGCTAAGCCTTATACACCGTTTTCTTATTGGAAATAAAACTAAAGCAAAATATAGATTACACTGGATTTTTGTTTTGTTCAAAGCCACACTGATACATCTTTAACTTCAAGTTTGATAAAAAACAAAACAAAGAAAAATTGGGTCTACGCTGTGACAGGAGACCAGAGGCTAGTCCAAAAAATATCTGCCCGACAAAATATCAACTTTGTAAGGTTAAAAAAAAGAAAAGAGTTTGTGATTTCAGTTAATCCGTAATTTTTTTTTTTCTCTACAAAAAGGAGGAAGCGGCACAGCGTTGCTAGGAAACCCCAATTTGGTTGCCGTTGACGACCGTCCATGGGCCTTCACCGGTAAGGGAGGGGCCTCTAGTGATCCTGAAGAGACAGGAAACGACATCATTGTTCGCCCTCGCTCACCTTCAGGGGTCAGAGGTCGAATAAAAAAATGCCGTTATATTTTAAGTATATGGAACCACAAAACAACGTCATACACTACATCATATCGTTCAGTCATCAGACCCACAGGAGGAGGAGCCGCTAACGTTAGCTAGTAACGTTAGCGGCTCAGCCACCTCTGTTGGTTGTGACCAGGTGAGAGCGTTACCTGTATCTGGGTCGCGTTCCACAGGTAGGGCTGCTGCTGTCTGTAGTATTCTGCCAACGCTGCAGTGTAGTCTGGAACCGAACTCTGCTGAGACGACTGACCTGCAGACACACACGGGGACGTGAGGGGACACACACGAGGACATGAGGGGACACACAGGCGTCCGTGTGGTGATTCGGCCGTTACTGTTCAGTAACCAGAGGGACGGGCAGCGTACTCTGCTTCTTGTAGTAGTCCTCCCAGGCCTTACTGTAGTCGGCCATCAGGCTCTGAGGTGGATTCTGTTGACCTACAGACACAAACACACGGTCCTGAACCACCTGAGTCTGTCCATTACACGTCATACAGACTTCGGGTTTTCGATATACTAAATATACAGATTTGTATATCTGACCTCTGATGACCCTGAAACCTGAGCGCTACTACTGAGGGCTAAATATATACATCAGATAAATTATTCCTTATGGTTGAAATGCTCTTATTGTAAGTCGCTTTGGATAACTGCGTTAGATAAATGACATGTAATGTAATACTGTTGAGATGGAAGTAGCATAGCAGCTAGCTTAGCCTAGCGGGGCGTAAAGTAGATGTCCCCCTTATGGTTGAAACGTGGAGGAATTCCTCTGCTCCGTTCTTCTGTTTGTTTTACTTCCAATGCAAAAAGTTCCCTCCGTCTTCAGCTACCGTCTCGTCTCTGCATCTAACGGGCTGACAAAGTTACGTCAACTACCGTAAAATACTTTCACTTTCATTTCTGCCACATTAATCGCATAGATTAGTTTATGTTGACGGCCCTAATATTAACTAAATATATACTAGCTAAATATATATATACTAACTAAATAATATTAACTAAATATATACTAGCTAAATATATATATACTAACTAAATAATATTAACTAAATATATACTAGCTAAATATATATATATACTAAATAATATTAACTAAATATATACTAGCTAAATATATATATATACTAAATAATATTAACTAAATATATACTAGCTAAATATATATATACTAACTAAATAATATTAACTAAATATTTACTAGCTATATATATATATATATATATATACACAATAACTAAATAATATTAACTAAATATATACTAGCTAAATATATATATATACACTAACTAAATAATATTAACTAAATATATATAAACTAACTAAATAATAGTAACTAAATATATACTAGCTAAAATTATATATATATATAATTTTATAATTTTTAATAATTTAATAATTTAATTTTTAATATATATATATATATACACACGCACACACACACACACACTAACTAAATATATGCTAGCTATATATAAACTAAATAATATTAAATAAATAAATATATACTAGCTAAATAATATTAATGAAATATATATACCAGCTAAATAGTCACACAGGTCTGTGTGTGTGTGTGTGTGTGTGTGTGTGTGTTACCAGGATCTTGTTGTCCAGGGTTCTGCCAGCTGGTCTGGTAGGTGTTTCCCCAAACCCCCGTCAGGAAAGTCTGACCGCTGCCACAGCTGCAAACGCACGCGCACACACGAACACGCACACACAATGAGACAGCATGTCTACACACACAGGGACACACACTGGTCTCTTGGTTTGAAGCCGACTTACTTCTGGTGAGCAGCAGGATTCTGAGTGAAAGGACTGAATCCAAACCCTCCGTTACTCATGATGCCAGAACCCTGAGGACCAGACACAGCTTCCGTTAGACCTCCACCCTACTCCACCCTGACTCCACATAGTCCTAAAGCTGGATTAATTACAGGTGTGTGTCCGGGGCTGCATTTGTTTTGTGTACCCCGATCTTGTCGTCTATCAGCTGGCGGGCCAGGTCCATCTGTTGGGCGGTTCCTCTGATGGTGAAGACCCGGGTGTTGGGGTCGGTGGAGGGGGGGGGGTTCCTCTGCAGCTCCACGTGGGCTCCAGATTGCTGGTTAATACTCTTAATGGTTTCTCCACCTGTAGGTACAAGTACAGGTACTTATACTTCAGGTAGGACATGCTGCTCATTTCAATGTCACGTGTTTCATTGACACAAACATTTGGGTTGATGATCAGTTTACTGATTATTGTCTCCAAATTGTACAGGTTATGTTCCCTGATTTCCCTCAGAAAAATAAATATATATATAAATTTTTTCTCCCTCCTCACCTCTTTTTTGTTTGGTCGCCCACCCCCCCCCCTCTCCTCTCTCCTGGTCTACCCCCCCATCCTCCCTGGGGTCATTACTCCTTTGTTAACCAAAAGAGGCCTTTAATAGAACTTTCATACGCAGCAGAGAGAATAAATCTACATTTAGTTTCTGGAGCTCTTAGATCTCAACACATTTTATTGCTCTTTTACATCCATTACGTTTTAAATCTCATTAATAAAATGTGTGTGTATTTCTGTTCGGATCGTCAAAAGTTTTGCATAAGAAGATGTGTACACACGCGTGACTCATACTGTATGTTTGTGCACGTTAGTGTGTATGTAGACAGTAGGACACTAGGTCTTCTCACACACACACACACACACACACACACACACACACACACACACACACACACACACACACACACACACACACACACACACACACACACACACACACACACACACACACCATATGGTGTCTAAACAAAACAGTGCTTGACATTTCTTCCCCCCGCCCCATGCTTTTATTTTGGAGAGCTGCTGCTCAGCCCTCTT